TGAAATTGAGGAGATAAGAGTGGATATCCCACCACCCTTTCTACCTATGGAAATTGTTGCTCCTCAACCTTATGTTTTCGTTGAGGATCATGAGCAACATGATGGAGATAGTTCATTACCACCAGAAAATATTGCCATTGAAAATGATGTAGAACCACCACAACCGGCAACTTTGAGGAGATCTCAAAGGGAAAAAAAATCTGCCATTTCGGATGATTATGTGGTGTATCTACAAGAATTTGACTTTGATATTGGGATAAGAAAGGATTCGGTTTCGTTTTCAAAAGCCATGGAAAGTATTGGTTCTGATAAATGGTTGGAAGCTATGAAAGATGAGTTGAAATCTATGGCCCATAATGATGTTTGGGATCTCGTTGAATTGCCTTGTAAATGTAAACTCGTCGGTTGTAAGTGGGTCTTCAAGACCAAACGCGACGCTAAAGGCAATATCGAACGATTTAAGGCTAGACTTGTGGCCAAAGGTTTCACTCAAAAGGAAGGTATCGATTACAGCGATACTTTTTCCCCTGTTTCCAAGAAGGATTCACTTAGAATCATCATGGCACTTGTAGCTCATTTTGATTTGGAGTTACATCAAATGGATGTGAAAACTGCTTTTTTAAATGGGAATTTGGATGAGGATATCTATATGATACAACCTGAAGGGTTCACAAGTAAGGACAGTGCACATCTAGTTTGCAAATTAAGGAAATCCATTTATGGTCTTAAACAAGCTTCCCGACAATGGTATATTAAGTTTAACGATACCATTACATCTTTTGGATTTAAGGAAAACATTGTTGACCAATGTATATACCTTAAGATTAGTGGGAGCAAGTTTATATTTTTGATACTATATGTAAATGATATTTTGCTAGCTAGTAGTGATCTTGGTTTGTTACGTGAAACCAAGGAATATCTTTCTAAAAACTTTTCGATGGTTGATATGGGTGAGGCAAAGTATGTTATTGGCATCGAGATATTTAGGGATCAATCTCGAGGATTGCTAGGTTTGTCTCAGAAAGGATATATTGATCGAGTTTTAAAAAGATATGACATGCAGTCTTGTTCAAAAGGTATTGCACCTATTGTTAAAGGTGATAAATTAAGTAAATTGATGTGCCCAAAGAGTAAAATGGAAAGGGAACAAATGAGGAAAATTCCTTACGCATCGGCAGTTGGGAGTTTGATGTATGCTCAAACATGCACCAGACCTGACATTAGTTTTGTTGTTGGGATGTTAGGAAGATACCAAAGTGATCCAGGATTTGAACACTGGAAAGCTGCAAAGAAAGTTATGAGGTATCTTCAAGGAACTAAGGATTACATGCTCACATATAAAAGGTCACAAACATTAGAGGTTGTTGGTTATTCGGATTCCGATTATCGTGGTTGTTCCGATAGCATGAAATCAACATCTGGGTTTGTTTTTATGCTAGCAAATGGGGAAATCTCATGGCAAAGTAAGAAGCAGTCCATTATTGCTTCTTCCACGGTGGAAGCCGAATTTATTGCTTGTTTTGAAGCCTCAAATCATGCATTATGGTTGCGGAATTTTATTTCAGGGCTTGGTGTTGTCGACTCTATTGGCAAGCCGCTAAAAATATTTTGTGATAACACCGCAGCTGTATTCTTCTCGAAGAATGGTAAATTTTCGAGTGGGTCGAAGGCCATGGATTTAAAGTATTTGGTCGTTAGAGAAAGAGTCCAAAAACAACAAGTGTCAATTGAAAATATAAGTACCACATTTATGATAGTCGATCCACTCACTAAAGGATTATCACCAAAGGCATACTTAGAACATGTTATAAAGATGGGTCTTTTGGGAAATCCATAAATGTATATTGATAGTGGTACTAATTAACATTTTGCGCAATTGAATTTTGTTTTTGCTTATTCTTGTTAATGTATACATTATGTTCTATAAAAAACAAGAATTGTCCTGACAAGACAAATTACATGGGCCATTATAGTATTAAAGGTTGAATTAGTATGGATTATTAGTATGTAGTACATGGAAGGAAGCGTGGCGTTTTTTGTTGCTGCGTAACCGCCATGACTTGTGCTAATCGTTTGTGCTAACTTCAATATTAATGTAATTATATTATTTTTTAGCATGTTGGACATGTATTATTGTAATCGTGATCACGTGTTAAAGATATTTTTGAAATATGTGTTTATATATTACATATATTTTATATTTATATATAATGTAACTTTTTTCATAATCGATTTAGCGGGCCAAGTGGGAGAATGTAATTTCCACATTACATGTCAAGTGGGTGACCCGCTAATCTATTGTTTTAATTAATTAAATCCCACTATTTAATTTAATACATATATCTAATTACAGAAATGCTCATATTAAATCAATACTGTATAAAAGATAAGTGTCCTTTGATGGATTGGATTACTTAGCCAATTAATTATTTATAAATAATTAATAAAAGATAACAATTATTGATATAAAAGATAATTAATAAAAGATAACAGTTATTGATATAAAAGATAGTTGGTTCTATCCGGCTAAAACCGGCTCTCTGCTCTCCTCTATTAAGGAGAATAGGACTACATATAATTTAGTAATTTTGCTAAAAGCTTTGGAGGTTCTTTTAATTTTGGCAATTGTATTTTCCCTTCTCGATAACACATGTTAAAGGTTGTGCAATTCTTACTGCTCCCTTTCTTTACCCTCTCTTCATACCACATTAGTGCCTTACAATCTGGACATTTATACCTAGGTGGTCCTAAACTCACATATTTCTTGTTCTCATTTTTAGTTCCTGCATGTTAAAAACAATCAAATATCTTGCAAATTAAAATAGACTATAAGTTTTTCTAGTCTGCAAAAATGTTAAATAAGTATCATGCATAGTCTAATTGCTAAGATAGGTAATAAAATTATTGATATCACTGATCAAGGACTATTTTTGTGCTTAGAAATTTAAGTTTTTTTATTAGTCATGTTTTTATATTCTCTGTTGTTTTTATTACACAGCTACGTTCTATGATCAATGGATTCAAATACTTGAATTAATTTGTTTCGTTGGTTCAATGTGTACGTTTAAAAATTAGCTAGATTTTAGATGAAATACCTGATGTTGTTTCCAACCGTCTTCGTTGTCTTTTTTCATTGATTATCATCCGTCTCCTTTATCTTCTTTCTTTTTGCAAATCTTTTTTGTCGATTTCTGGATCCTTCCTGTTAATTTTTGGGTTCACTGTGGAGGTCTTGTAATTAAATTGCAAGTTAGTTGATGTTGTTTCCAACCGTCTTTGTTGTCTTTTTTCATTGATTATCATCCGTCTCCTTTTTCTTCTTTTTCTTTTCAAAACTATTTTGTTGATTTCAGGGTTCATTGTGAATTTCCTTAAATAAGTTTCAAGTTTTGTATTTTGTGTATCAAAGTTTTGCTTATTCAAAAATATAAAGAAGTACGGAGTAGTATATCAGCTTATGTTGAAGTAGATCTCTAGTGTTAATATGATAATTTCCATCTTAAAAAAATAAAAATTTAAATTAGCTTATTAGCTATATGAATTCAATACACAAATGGAAATGTGAAAATCTTATCTCATGTTGTAGAATTTATCATAACAAAATTAAAAGGATGAAAACTAACTTTGTAAATTTCTCAAGTTTATCTTTTATTAATAAGATTATGATATAAAAATATAAATAAGTATCATGTTGTAGAATTTATCATAACAAAATTAAAAGGATGAAGACTAACTATTGTAAATTTTTCAAGTTTATCTTATATTCAATAAGATTATGATATAAAAAATAAAATCTTGTTGGAGTTATTATTTTTTTAATCTTGTATTATAATTTATGATTTTTTTTTGGAGTAATTCTCTTGGTTAATATGTTGTATAAGTTAATCTTATTTAATGAGATAGTGATTTGTATTTTTTTTTTCCGGCACAAAATCATACGTTTTAATATGATAGTGAAATGTAAGTTATAGTTAGTCCTGATTCCTGAACACAATTTAGTAGGCCTAAATTGTGTTATATTAAATTATTAACCCATTAACTTCAAAAAGTTTCGTGCCATATTGGTAATGTGAAAAGGCTAAACAGCAAAACAATTACTCCGTACATTTTTACAATGGGAACCTCAATATAAAATAGAGTACAATTCATGGAGTTTGTCAAAAAAAAAAAAAATTACAATTTATGGAGGTTTCAAAATATGCATTTGTACAGTTCTTTGCACCGTAGAAAGATAATGGTGGGGTAGAAATCACGTGGTAAATCACTAAATCCTTATGACAAAAAAATGGTCCAATACTCTAATTACAAAATACCCACGAAACTGATCGTTGTTTGTTTTTTTAAAAAAAAAATTATGTATTGCCATTTGTAATTCCACCACTGTACTAAGTCGTCCAATATCAATAATATTTGTAGGTCTCATGGTGAAGTTTTTCTATACTAATAAGCAGCCAGGATTTCTTAGGCTGCTTCAACTTTCTACCCTTCAAAGCTAAATTTCTCGGTGTGGTGTGACGGTAACTTGACCAAGTGATGCGTGCACGATTGTGCTTGTTTGTTGCTTCTGCTTGTACGCTAAGACTTTTCACTGAATTTAGTACTTGTAGATTGCTAATGCGATATATCTAAACGAAATAATTAATGGTAATTTTATTTATAAATGACGTTCATGATCTTGACTTTATTGCTTTCCTTGTTTGAATAATTCTACGTGGGCATGAAACACGCTACCTATTGATCAATGTTACTTCTATTTGTTTTAACCATATGTGTCATCAATGACGAATGACGACTATGTGATCTACAATTGAATAATTTATCATCTTTGTTTATTACTTATATATATGTATTTTATTGTTATCATTATATCAAGGGTGATATGCTTGTATTAAAAACAATTAAAAATAAGTAAACCAAGGGTGTTAAATAATATTAAAATTGATATAAAAATTCAAAATTAAAGCTAAACAAAAGTATTAAGTATATGATTTGTTGTTAATAATAAAACATATATAAAAGAAAAACTATCATCTAGAATCTCGAAAGTTGTTACATAATAAAAAATTAAAAAGCTAACATAAGTATTATTTGTTACTATCATCTAAATCTCTATTTCTTGAACATGGAATTTTATTATGTTTCGAGAGAATCCTTGATTCATAAAACTAAACCTGCATCATACACAAAGTACACAAATTAAAGTGTTAATATTAATATACTATTAAATAATCTATAAGATAAAATTAGAAATAGTAAGAAATATCTAAATGAATTATATATATTCTAAAAAATATATACCTTTATCTTCTTTGATGTGATTTGGTCGGATGAATCATGATCCTTTTCCGTTGAATTGATATTATTAAAAGGGCGTTTTGCGGTTTTTTCAATGACTGTAATTCATCTTTTGAAGTATCTTCATTATCTTTTATGACATCTTTATTCTACATCAAAATTATTTATGTAAAGTTTTAAGAAATTAAAATTTTAAATTCATGACTTCTAAATAAACATTAAATACTTGTAACAATTATTTAGTACCTCAATGACACTTTTGTCAAAAATTTTCATCACCGTAAAAGTTTGTCGAATTGTTGTACGATTATAAGCGGTGACTTTAACTTTGAATACCAACTCTCTTCCAATGATATTTGCAATTATCTTTGGAATTTGTGTATCATCATCTTCATTGTCATTATCATCATCATTATGATCATTGATCTGTCAATTTTAATTGAAATAATTGATAAAAGCATTTGTAGAACAATTTAATCTTTTAACTATTGTTAAAAAGCAATTATTAAAACCTTTCCATAAGTATGAGCCTCAAAAAGAGTACTTGTAGTATATTGTCCTATTAGTTTCTTAGCTTCTTCATCAAAAACTACAAATATTGTTGACCCACTATGATCGATATCTGATTGAGAAAAAAAATAATGCATGAAGAAATTAGGCATTATATAATTTATTATTCGTTTAATCTATTATTGTAGTAATATGGATAAAGTAGAAATTTGAAACAAACCTTGGGATGGGCCTTTCAATTTGTTTCTTACAAGGAATGCACCAAAAATCTGTTTTTCTTGGAGTGATACGTCTTTTACATGCTGGGCATGAGATATAATACCAACTTTTTTCACTCATAATTGTATCCACTTTAGCCATGCAATAGAAGATCAAATCCTGTATGATTTTAAAAATAAAATTAGGTTTGAATTTAAGATTTATCATCCATAATGTTTTTTCCCTTTCTGGTCTTTTTAAACTAATGAGAAATCTCCTTAATCAGAACTATATTATCTTCTGTGCCTCAACCCTTTATAAAACTAACTTGAAGGGGCAGATAAGGGAAGGCATGAGAGGCCTTAACCTTAAAGAGATGACTTTAGTAATAAGCTTGTAACTATTACCCAGTCCTATAGGTCTAAAGTTAGCCATAGAGCGAAGATTTTCCATTTTTGGGATATGAGGGAAATGTAAGAGTGATTGATATCATGAGGATAACAATAGATTTGAATACATCTGTAATAAAACAAGAGATACTATCCTCAAGGTTATCCTAAAAATGTTGGTAAAATACAAGTTGAATACCATCACGGCCTAGGCTTTTGATAGGGCTTATTTGGAAGAGATAGGCTTTAACTTCTGAAGTTGAAGGGGAATCACAAAGATGTCTAAACACGTTAGGGCAGAGAGAATCATCATGCATGACAGTAATGCTGAAAGAAAACAGAACAGAAGGAGAAAAAAGATTTTGGAAATAGGCTCTGGCCAACTATTTCAACTAATCAATATATATCATATCAATAATAGTTAGACCATTAGGGTCCTGAAGTGAAAGGATTTTCCCTCTACTTTTCATTACTTTAGCAAGGATATGAAAATACTTGGTGTTTAAATCACCATATTTGCGCCAATTAATACCCGCTTTCTTTGCCCAGATGACTCTTTCCATTTTATAGATCTTATTTAATTAAAAACGAAGTTCATTTTCTAGATTATCAAGAAAAAATATAATATTTGGCTAAAGATATTTGGATACCGTCAAGCCTTGCAAGAATATTCTTCTTTCCTTAATTTTAAACTACAAAAAACATTATGATCCCAAGAATGAATACGTTATAGAAAATTGTCCCTGACTTTAAGAAAAGGGATATGGGAATCAATCGGGACCCATTGATCAAGAAAAAAGTTAGAAAAGGATTCATGTTGAATCCAAACTTCCTTACAACGAAAAGGAAAAGGACCATTAGATAAAGAGTCTTCTAAAGTCACCAAGAAGGGGTAATGATCAAAATAAGTTACCTTGACTTGAGGAAAATCATCTAAAAAGGCAGCATTAGCAATGGCTCAATTGACCCTTTTCTTGATTTATTGAAGGTCGTTCCTTGAATTAATCCAAGTGTAAGGGTTGTCGTTATAACCCAGATCCACCAAGCCAACCTTATTCATGAAATTGGTGAGATCATTACACTGACTAGATCTAAACTTCCTTCCACCCATCTTTTCAAGTTGAGAGGTGAACTCATTTAAATCACCTAGAAGCATCCAAGGTGTGTTAGGAGCTGGGAGATTGTCCTGCATGTTGTGCTTTTGGAATGCTTGAAGCATGAATTCCAGTAGGCAAGATTTCAAGTTTCCTCTTGTGAGACTTAAAAAGCGAGTGGAAATATTCATCTTTTTCCTTGAAGAGGATCGGATCGGATCAATGTTTGCTTTCCAAAAAACCAGATATTCCTCTTTTACCGTTAGCAGGGACCACCTTAGAATATCTGAAACCCAACTGATGTTGGGCATCTAGAGCTTTAACTGCTCACTTTTGGTTTTAGAATGATGAAGATAGAGGGTCGATGTTGTTGAACAATTTGCCATGCATGCGGGAGAAAGTCATTATTCTTATTCACTCCACGAACATTCCAAAGGGCGATCTTCATTCCCAAATGTGGTAAAGAGTACTAAGGAGTGATTTGCAGCAGCTTAATGGGATAAGCCCATAGTCTCTTGAAGTACTTCCCCCCAGTCCTTCTAATGCTCCCATAAGTACTTGCGAGTTACCTTTGTCATTGAGACCGAAGTGATGTATATATAATCTGATCTGAAAGGTTCGTCTGTGGGTCTTGGAGATACCAAACTTGCGTCTGGACGCCACTACCTCCTTTTGAGTCTGCTATAGAGTTATATGGCGACCTAACTAAGTCGTATCTTGTCCTTCCGTGCATAACTGCAAGGGGATGACTAGGGTTCCTCCTATTGGCCTTTCGAACCCTCTCTACATGGGTGCTAGCGACCATTGAAGAGATAGGTTCATTCGAGAATGGGGTGGTAAGGCTTCCTCCTTCCGGCGTAAAGCATCTAGAAGGATCATGGTAGAGGTTGTTTCTTGGATCCTTTGTGGACTTCTCACCACAAAACATTTTGGAATGCTCCCTTAAAGACCACTGTTAATTATAGTTTTAGATTGAAAGAGAGGGAAGATAAAGGAAGAGTAAAAAGTGAGGAAAAAGGGAAGATATGTTTATGCTAAATTTCGTCAAGTGGGATTGAATAGCAAAATCTAGGTTACGAATCAACTAAATAGAACCTTAAATGAAAACGATAACAAAATAAAGAAAAGACACAAGAAATTAACGACGCGGAAAACCCAAAGAAGGTAAAAACCGCAAAGAGAATGAGGATCTTCCAAACTTTCACTATGTAAAATATCGAACAAAAGAGATTACAATGTATGATCAATGTGATTTTAGTAGCTAGGTTGCAATGTGTCTAATGTCAATGGTTCCTTCCCCTAATACAGATGATGCCTAGGGTTTAATGTGGCCGTTGTAGAATGATAAGATGCTTCCCTTGATATCCGGAACTATCTCCTTGACTCACGACACTTAGCTTAGTCCAATAACGGTTTGATTTTACTGGTGGGAGACCTAGTCTTTCCAGCTTATCGCTCCCTAGAAAATAGGGGAGTTGTTATCATTGCTTTGTCCGTCGAGTTTGGGCTCAGTCGTCGATCTTTTCTCTTTGTCGTTGACCCTTGCTGACTTACGCTGACTTTGACTTACTAAAATTTACCCATAACAATTTGCCCCTAATTGCTTAATATGGGCAGCTATGTACATGTTCAACAATTAAAACAACAAAAATAGAGTAAATTAAAAAGAAGAACAAAAATCAAAACCAAAAAGCCAATTACTTGTGGGCATAATCGTCTTTCAGCCTGGCACACTAGTTCAAGAAGTTATCTCAACTTCCCATTACTCAATTAACCATCATTTCACGTCTTTATTATTGCTACAAGCTTCACGCTTGCTAAAATTACTGCTTCCTTCCCTCTCCTCTTTCTCTCTCTTGCGCAGGAAATTTCCGGGGGAATTTAAAGCGACAGAGGGAGGCGATTCTTCAATTCAAGCTCTCAATTACTTCAATCGACAGGTAATTACTCAAATCCTTTGTTTACTTCGTTAATTTCGCCGAATTTCAAGTAGAATTCCTAAAGCTTGGTTTTCACTTTGCGTTGTTGAGAAGATGGGAAAGATTGTTTCAGAAAAGAAAACGATGACTAAGGCGGAGTCGTTGATGACGCCAGACATGATTGCGGGTTTCATGAAAATGGTGGGGTTTCCTAAGATTGCATTTGCTCATGTTCCAGGAAAAGGTCGGAAGGTGGAGAATTGTCCCAAGGGTTTCATTATATTCTTTAGGTATCCATTCTTGGAGACATGGGCTAAATTTCCCTTCAAGCCTTTGACTAGATCTTTCTTTGAGGTGCTAGGGTTAAGCCCTAGGCAATTAATGCCATCTGGTTGGATGATTTTATCAGATTTGGAGGAAGTGACTAAAGATTGGGAAGATCCCTTTACTTTGGAGGATTTAATTAAAGCTTATGACATAAAGATGAAGAAGGATTGTTTTGTGAGTTTGCATAAGAAGGGGGAACAATTGGTTTTGAACACCGACAGTAATGACAAGGGTTGGGCTCAGTACTTCGTTTTCATCAAGAAGACGTCAATAGGTACTAATGGAATGTGGCTGATGGAAGGGTGGCCAGAAAAGGGTAAGAAATATTTCTTCGTGTTTGATATTTAGAGCTAAGGTTTTCTGAATGTTTGATCTTGGTTCAGGTTGCGCAGATCTTAATCTCGATTTTCTCGAGCCGACGGAGAGATCGTCGTCGAAGATAAAAGCGGATTCTCTAAGTAGGGCACTTAAAAAGGACTTTTGAGAGGATGAGACACACTCTCTGTGAATCGTCGGGTCAGAAGCATAAAGAATTACCAAGAATCCCTCAGAGAGTCAAGGATTCCGAGGAAACGATGTCTACACGTAAGTCATTTGTCATTTCGTCGTTTCGATCATCGATGTCGTTTGTACACTGTTCATGTGTTCACGCGTTTTTCGATGTATTCAAATCCGACAGAGTCTGCAGCGCAGGGTGGTCGTCGAGGACGAAACACATCCCAGGCTGAGAAGGACGCAAGGAGGAGGAGGAAGTGTGGGTTAGCACCCCAGGAGGCGTCACTGTCGTCGGTAGTGGATAGGACGGAGCAACTTCATGTGTCGTTGTCGCCGCAGAAAGTTAGCAGCGCAACTACTCTAGTCCATGCATCGTCGTCTCCTCCCCATAAACAATAGAATACGAACGATGCTCCAGCACCTCAAGACTTGGAGGTGCACTTTACTTTTGATTTATTTTCCGAGTCTTACTAAGGAGACTTGCCAGCTTTTGTTCCTACATCTGAATCAATTATTGTTTCCTAGTTCCCGAGAAGGATTGGCCAGGACTTCCACTTTGGATATTGCGTCGGAGGCTGCTTGTGTTCATCTCTATGTGAGTTTCTTTCTCTTTGTTGCTTTTTGTTGGTGATGTATATTTAGGTTGTGATTTGGGACTTGTCTGGTTTGGATAGTGTTTTCAAAATTCTTTAGTTTTGAGGGAAAGGGTGATCGGGTTGGCTAAAGAGATGAAGAGGTTATATGATATTGTGAATAATAATGAAGCTAATATGAATACCGCGACGAGACAGTTTATAACTATGAAGAAACAGTTTGACGATGCGGCTAAGAAGGTGATCGAACTGGAAAGTCGGTTAGAGGAGCAAGCAAAAAAGATGAGGAGCAAGAAAAAAAGGTGGATGAGAAAGCCCAACAGCTGAAGGACCAAGCCAAGAAACAGAAGGAACAAGCCCAGCAATTGGAGGACAAGGTTGTGGTTATACAAGATCGAGATGAAGCTTTGTCAAAGGTGAAGGAAGAGTTGTCGACAGTTAAAAGGACTTGGACGACGCTTTAAATTGGAGATCAAGCTTAGGGTTTAGCTGATGAAGGAGTACCTAGATGGGAAGGCTACAAAGTGGCGTCTGCAGGAAGAAATTGATCATTTCTTGGCCAACGGAGGGACTATTGTCGAGCTGGAGAAGATGCTGTAATTGTTTCGACTGCGAAGTCGGAACCTCATACGTCGAATGTTGTTCCTCCTACCACTAACAAAGCTTCGGCACAACCAACGATTGGTGAAGGTGTTGGAGACAATGCCCCTATCGACAAGATCATAAAATATGTCGTCGAAAGAGTGAATGCTAATGGCGAAGCTAATGCTTGAAGGCCATTGCTTGTGATGGTTTCTTTTGCTATGTATTTATGCTTTTGTTTTGCACTTTGATACTTTAGTTTTTCACTTGGATGTTTTTGTCATGGCTTTTGAATATTTTTGTTTGGATATTATTGTCTTTTTTTCCACTTGATGGCAAGTGGTTCTTGAAGCTGATGGCGAAGCTGATGCTTGAAAGCCATTGCTTGTGCTGGTTTCTTTTGCTATGTATTTATGCTTTTGTTTTGCACTTTGATACTTTAGTTTTTCACTTGGATGTTTTCGTCATTGCTTTTAAATATTTTTGTTTGGATATCATTGTCTTTTGTTCCACTTGATGGCAAGTGGTTCTTTTGAACACTGTTATGACTTTTGTCATAGCTTTGCACGTAGTATTTTCCCTTTGTCTCGTCTGTTACTATTGCTTGCATGTGTTATAACTTTGTTCTGTGAACAGTGTGCAAAACGTAAGATCAATTTTGAACAAAATTTAAAAACCTGAAGAACACTTATATGAAATTTAGTTGAATCATAAAATGAAAATACTGGAAAGAGCGAACATTTGATAAAGCAAATGGTTAAAGGAGTAAATTCATTGATGCATAAGAATTGAAAAAACTTATTAATTTTATTCAATTGTCATTGTACAAAGTATTCATCGAAGGCTTTATGTAGCATATGTATACTCGAGTTTTGGCCTTCATTGTTTGCCAATGCCCCTTGCGCCCCAGCGTCGACGCTGAACACTGAAGACTAAGTTCGTAGTTTAGGTATCAGGTGTGGCGTCGGACGCTAAGGTCAGATTTGCCCGGGCTTCGTTTCGTCATAATGTTTTCGTTTGACCGGCGGCTTTCCTCATCCCTTTGAAGGATGTCAGTGTAGCCAACATCTATCTTTTTGTCATTTGTCGTGATTTTTGGTCATGACCTGAGTTCTTTGTTTCGTCGCTTGTGTTTCGTCGATCGTTGTACTACAAAACCAACATGGTTAGAGTACCAATGGCCGTTGGCTCGGCCAACGACCCTCTGATGCTTAAGTCAGAACTCGTAGTGAAAAATAGATAATCAAATGTAAGTAAATCAAATGTGAGATCGGAGGCGTTACCTACGTCAGCGGACACTTTTTGATATTCTAAAAGTAATAGTTTCACAGATGAGTTGTGTTCCAACTTCTTGGAACAGGTTTACCTTCCTTGTCGTATAATCGATAAGCGTCATTGCCAATGACTTGGGTGATCAGGTACGGGCCTTCCAATAGGGGAGCTAGCTTTCCGTCGGCGGGGTCTTTTGCATTCTGAAACGCTTTTCTTAGCACCTAGTCGCATAGATGGAACGCCTTTGCTTTGACTTTTTTGTTGAAGCTTCTGGCGACGATTTGCTGTTATGCTGCCATCTTGATTAGGGCTGCTTCACGCATCTCTTCGACTGCGTCTAAGTTGCTTTCCATTTCTTCTTAATTTCTTTTTTCCGCCATCAAGCCAAATCGAGACGTAAGGAAATCGACTTCTACTGGGAGGACGACTTCACATCCGTAGATGAGGGAGAAAGGCGTATGTCTTGTCACGGACCTTGGAGTTGTCCTATTAGCCCACAGAACGGATGGGAGCTCGTCGGCCCACCTGCGGCCTTTACTTCTTTAACCTTTTCTTGATGGCATTCATGACGACCTTATTGCTGGATTCTGCCTGTCCGTTGGCTTGGGGATATCTTGGTGTCGATGTCCTTAGCTCTATTCGGAATTTCCTGCAAAATGAACGAGTTTTGTCACTAATAAACTGTGATCCGTTGCAAGAGACTATCACCGACGGAATGCCGAACCTGCAAATAATGTTAGTTCATAAAAAACAAATTCTTTGTCCGTCACCTGCTTCAAGGAAATTGCCTCGATCCATTTAGAGAAATAATATGTTAGTGCTAGCATGTAAACTTTTTGTCCTAGTGCAGTAGGTAGCTTTCCGACGATGTACATTCCCCATCTCATGAAAGGCCATGAAGATAAGGTTTGGTGCAAGGATTCCGACGGTTTGTGAACCGTATTGGAGAATCGTTGACAGCTATCACATTTGGCAACGTACTGGATGGCGTCTTCGTGGAGTGTTGGCCAGAAGTATCCTTGTCCACCTGCAAGGGTTCCGACGGTTTGTGAACTGTATCCCTTAGTACACTGTAAAAACGTTCCGTATCCACACCAGTCGTTGTCGTTGTAGGTGTCATCAACGGGAAGGATTACTTTTGTGGATACGGAACGTTTTTGCAGGTGGACTAAGGGAATCGATGTAAAGGTGGTCTTTTTTAGCACGGAGGTTAAGTTTGCAAGTGCATCGGCTTAGGAGTTTTGGTCTCTTGGGATTTATTGGATTGTGAAGGGGTTGAAGTGTTTTGATTTTTCTTTGGCTACTTCGAGGTAGGCTGGCATTTTGGAGTCTTTTTCTGTAAAGTCTCTTGTCATCTAGCTGACGATGAGGAGAGAGTCATTGTATACGTTTAGGGATGTTGCCCCCAGATCTTTGGCGACGATCATTCCTGCAATTAGTGCTTCTTATTCTGCTTCGTTGTTCGTTGCTTTGAAATCGCAAGATATAAATCGCACTATCATGTCCCCTTGTGGCGACTTTAGCACCATTTCTAGGACAGCTCCTCGTTAATTGGACAATCTGTCGACAAACAGGATCCACTTGCTTTCTTTTTCAACGTTGTTTATTTCTTCCACTTCCTTGTCATCTGTGGCTTGCCGATCGGGGCTAAAATCAGCCAATGCCTGTGACTTTATTGCTCTTCGAGGTTGGTACTCAATGTCGAACGTGCTTAGTGAAATACTCCATTTGCCCATACGTTTTGTTAACTCTGGTTTGCTCAAAACAGACTTGATAGGATAATGTGTCATCACCACTACGTGGTGGGTTTCAAAATAATGCCTTAATTTTTTAACAGTAGTAACTAAAGCAAGAACGAGTTTTTCAAGAGATGAATACCTTACCTCGGCTGGGAGTAATGCTTTACTTACTTAGTAAATTGGTAACTGCCCGGCGTCGTCGTCTTCCCTAGTCAGGACATCACTGACGGCGAAATATATAGCTGCAAAGATTCGTTAAGTTTTGGTTTCGACAGGAGTGGTGGCGTCATTAAATATGCCTTTAAATCCTGCAATGCTTTCTCGTGATCGTCAGTCCATTCAAAGCCTTTATTTTTTCGTAAAACATTGTAAAAGAGATGGCATTTGTCTGACGATCGAGAGATAAAGCGATTTACGCTGACACTCATCCTGCCAATTTATGGGTTTCCTTAATGTTTTGGGGGGATAAAATATTTATTAAGGCCCAGAATTGGTCGGGATTGGCTTCAATTCCCCTTTGCGTTACGACATAACCAACAAATTCACCAGCAGATACTTCGAAAGAACATTTAGTAGGGTTAAGTTTCATACCATACTTTCACATAACCTCAAATATCTGACGAAGGTGGTCGACGTGATCTTCTGATTTCTTGGGTTTAACTAGAATGTCGTCAATGTATAGTACACCTCCATTGTGTCGCCTAACTGGTCCTTGAACATTTTGTTGACGAGTCTCTGATACGTCGAACTTGCATTCTTTAGACCAAAAGGCATAACTTTATAACAATATATACCTCTATTCGTCATGAAGGCCGTCTTTTCCTGATCGTCGGGATGCATGAGAATTTGATTGTATCTGGAGTAGGTGTCCATGAACGTCAAGAGCTCATGACTTGCTATTGCGTCTACCATGGCGTCGATGTGTGGCAATAGGAATGGATCTTTGGGGCATGCTTTATTGAGATCGGTGAAGCCGATGCATATGATAGGCTAAATTCTTATCACCTAATCAAAAGTAATTCCTAAAACCACTAACTAAAATTGATAGGGAAGTAAGGTCGAATCCACAAGCAAACAACGTTCTTCTATTCCAAATTAATTATTATAATCTAAATTATTAAGAAACAAATAAGGTTTGTATGAATTAATCTAAGGAATAATTAATAATAAAAAGCCTAGGGTCACAGGTTCACCAATAATTAATACTCAAGGATAAAACATAACAAACAACGATTAATATTACAAACATAACATGATTAACAGGCTCTCGCAATTTATTAATCAACATAGATCTAACAGGCTCTCGAAATTTACTAGTTCTAAGTTCATATTGAAAATAGTCTTTAATATCACATCTGCTCGATTCATCAATTCAATATTACTATACTTTTACAATCAAATCACATCTGCTCGATTCATAATCCAGTTGTAAAGAATTAAAACAATTCAATAAGATTTATCATGCAATATCAATAATCAACCAAAACAATTCATCCCTTCATATTTGTTATGGCTCCCCCAAGAACCCTAGAAATTAACTACGCACACATATTTAAATATAAACTAATCAAAGCATATATAAAAGACATGATTAAAATCAAAGCACAAAAATCTAAAACAATTAAAATCCAAGCGATGAACAAAGCAATAAAATAGATGAGAAATAATACCGAATAAAGGAAATATGAAATTGCACTAAAAGGGGAAAACTTGAGTTAAACAATAATCCCTCACTAAAATCTCTCTAAAAGCTTAAGAATGAAAATTGTAATCTAAAAACATAGCTAATAAAGCTTACAAAAAGAGTTTAAATACTAAACCCCAAAAATAACTAAAATGATAAGTCCTAAATGTCTCTGGAAATACTCGCGCCCGATCGGGCCCGCCTTTTTCTTCACACAGCCTTTCTGGGCATCCGCCCGATCGGGCCCGGTCTTTTTCTAGGCCGAGTTTTTCCTTCTTTTTTTCCTTTCGGCTCCAAACATTTATGGCCCAAATTTACTCCTTCCTTGGTTCATTACTTAGACCAATTCCACGAACCAAGCCATTAGTCACCAAAATAATGGGTCTTAGGCTACAAACGACGGTCATGAATGTGACCATAGCTTCGATATCTCGTAGTGGCCGGAAAACCATAGAAATCACCAACAAATCGGGGAAATTCCTACAAAATAAATGCCAACTCTACAAAACACTCGAAACCACACATTAGTACTAAAAATAGCCCTGAAGAGCTCAGATATGCATAAAAATAGCCGTGGGACGAGGGATAAAATAGAATATAAAACACATATATCAGCATACTCTCCACTTGCCATTTTTCTTGCTGACGACGACGGCATTTCCGAGCCAATCTGGATATTTCACTTCTCTTATTTTCCCTGTATTGATCAGCTGTTGTACTTCATCGTTGATGATTTTGTTTCGTTCTACGGCAAACTTTCCACACTTCTGCTTTACGGGCTTGTGATTCAGATCAACGT